GCTCTCTATTTATATTAAATTAATACATAGATGGATATAACAAATAAATCAAATAAATCAAATATATCTTATATGTCTGATATGTCCAAGATATCAATTATATCAAATATGTCTGGTATATCAACTATATCAAATATGTCTGACATTTAGATCTGCAATATGCTGCGTCACGTTCGTTAATCCAATCCTGTTACATTATTTAGATATTCAATTAAATTAATCCAATATATCTAAAAAGTATTTATTTTGGCACTTTTATTATAATCAATATTTTTTTATTTATTTTATTTTGTTTTTATATAATTTTATCAAGAAACTAATTTTTCAATTTTTTTAGCATTGGAAATGCTTGATCAAATCTATGAGAATTTTACATCTTTATTCAAATCTATCAAATTCTTGATAAAGAGAACCAACTGATAATTTCACTTGTTTTCTAAAATGAAATGCTAATTATCAAATTTGTTGCATTCAGGAGCATCAGTTAAAAAGAGCGTTGAAGGTCTGCCAGAATCATCCATGATTTCTATATTGGTTTGCTCAAAACATCCACTATTCTAAAGGGATGAGTAACAATAAAAACAGTTATATTTCATGGAATGTGATCGCGAGACACAATATATAAATAAATCTTTGTTTGCAACTGATTATGAATTTCGAGTACTCATGTAGACTAGAGGATTGTGGCCCCTGTAATATTACAAATTCTCACAATGAATTAATTCAAGAAGTTAAACAATCTGTTTCGCTAGATCAACTAAATAGACGATTAAACGTTCTTTTCACGTGATGATATTACCTAACATCTATTTCCTTCGCTATTTTTTCAGCGTGATTTTTTCTCGTGATCATCTTTTCTGCGCTCTAACAGTTATTGAACATTAATAACAATCTAAGTATAAAAGTTATAAATTCATTAGATTATGATGAATTATCCTTACAAGTGGATACAGATTAGTTTTTTTTATTATATTCAAATAAGACCACCACCTTCCAGTATGATTGAAAACCATTACCATTTTGTTCATGTTCGACCTATCATGAGAGATTGAGCGTTAGCATTGAATTATTTAATAATAATGGAATTACATAATTAACTCCTCCTCTGGAGTTAGTAGACCTTTATCAACAACAAAGTTAAGGCACCTGAATAGAGAACTTCTGAAGTAGTAATAGCTCCAGTTATCAAAACGCAGTAATTCTCCTGAGTCAAATCGATGGTCAACTAAGAGTTACCTTTCCTTGCAAAATAAAAAAAAACATACCTTCTTTTTTAACTCTGCAAAAGTATCCTGATTTAACATCATATTTGCATTTTTCAAAAACTACTGAAATCAGGTAATATTAAATATGTCTCAAATATCTTTAAGTTGTAATGTTAAAATAATTACATTTGCTGTATCTATTCATAATTCCGCGATATGACCAGCTTTTATTATCATATATATTTTTTAGGTAATAAGAATTAAAATAGATTAGTAGCTAAAATTTTTGCGAGTGAAGATCAAATGAGAGATAAGTATCTTGTAGCCAGCGTAATTAAGTTCGCTAATAGTTGATTAATAAAGACGAAAATGGGTTTGAATAAAGAATTTGTGTATTTATACTGTGAATGATGAAATTTTTTTTTTTGTATTTTCGCTTATTAACTTTCAATCATCGTAATACTTACTGACAATTAAGTTTGACCAGAATTTGCGAATCATAATATTGACTGATCTTGCATAATTCTGGTTAAATCACAGAATTTTACAGAATTAACATTTATCATATGCAGAAAATTATCATCCCTAATTATAATTATGTTACATTATGCTTTAGAATTAACCGAAACTGTTCACTCTAGTTATATAGGAAGTTTGCTAGGAAAATCAGGCTTTAAGAATTTTGATTTTAATGCATCTTGGTTTTTGATATTATTAGATTAAAATGTAATAAGATCTTAATTTTTTTAGTTCAAATAAATTCTTAGAGCCTGATTTTCCTAGCAAACTACCTATATACTTTTTCAATTTTACTTATGACTTTTGTAATGAATTAATATCAACACAAAAGTTTAAATATTTAGATTATATTGCTATATAAACTTGATTATCTGAAATTATGTATAGTAAATATTGTGATATATAATTATTTAATAATTTTATAATTTTTTATTTAGTTAAATATAATAGATATTATTTTTAAATGATAAAAACAATTCAATTATTTGATTGATTTGATTGATTTTATAAAACTTAACTATAGTTTTTGATTAAGAAATTTTAAGTTAAAAATAATAT